CTTCTCCAGCCACCAGGCCGCCCAGTCGCCAGACCAGGAGGCTGCGAGTCGCTGGCCAAGTTCGCCTGGGGGTCCCTGGGGGGCGGGGGGCATGGGGGCCCTGCTCTCGTCCCCCCAGGAGCAGAGGAGTCGCTGTTCCTGCATGGCTTTGCGCAGGTGGCAGGCGGCCTCCAGGGAAGAAGGGACGCTCCCCACCAGCTCCCTCATCTCTCGGTGGGTGAAGAGGCTGCTCTGGCTGATCGTGGTGGGAGGGCGCAGGTCGCCCTGGGTGGGGGCCCACTTCCAATTCCTGAGGAAGGCCCTCAGCCAGCGCCGGTAGAGGACCGCGGCCGCGGGAGTACAAGCTGTCCTTGAAGACGCGTCGTCTGGATGAACGGAGTCCCGGCATGGCGCGTCTGCTGCAGCACCCCCGAAGCTGGCCTCCGGGCCCGAGTCAGTGGGTGCCTGCCCCTCAGCCTCCTCCCCGCCGGCCTGCGGGAGCAGCGGCTGGTAGAACAGGTCTCCGGCCTCGGAAAGCTGGAAGACCAGCAGCGTCTGGGTGTGGTCCTGCTGGCCGAGGGCTGCTGCAATGCCTGGATTGGGGGGGAAGAGGCAGGATGAGGCAGGGGGCCGGCCCCATTCCTGACGCACACGGGTCAGCTGCAAATGCTGGGGGGACAGCTCAAAGGCGTGGGTCAGATGGAACTGGGGTACTGCCTTCCTGCTTGGGGGCGGCCCCAGAGCGCCAGGGTCAGGCAGTATACAAGAGATCCGGGGCAAGCCCCCTTCAGTCTCTTGGAACAGTCCCAGGTGGGACGTACTTGACCACGTGCAGAAAGGCTGCGGAGGAGATTTTCGGCAAGTTGGCAGGGAGGGCACGCAGCGGAGCAAGGCAAAAGGGAGGGATGTTCGCTCCCGATATAGCACATGCTGAGCTGGGAAAGGTTCTGGGCACCCAACCCGGCTCTGGATTCCAGATCAGAAGAGCTGCCCCAAATACGGACTTGCTTCCTGCACCAGGTTTTGCTCCTATTGGCAAGGACGGGGGAAGGAAGGCCAACCTGGTTCTCGGTCCAGGGGGGGGGGGGGGGCGGCCGCTTCTCCAGCTGCAGAGCACTGGGCTCTCCAGAGCCCTCCTGCTGCAGGCTGTGGAGTCCACTTTCCTCCATCTTCAGCCCCACCTCCCTTGCCCAACCCCTACCTGCTGTGGGGACTGAGAGACGCTGGCTGAGGGCGCTCTGCCTGACAGGCACTTGTGCCGGGAAGTGGGGCAGGCACTCCTTGGTGGATGGCAGCTTCTGAGGTGCACCTTGGAGCTGGCAAGGGAGGCCATGCCCACCTGTGGAAACAGCCCAGCAACCTCAGAGTCCCGCAGCACCTGGGCTGCCTTCCAGGCCACTTGGCAGACCACCCCCCAAGGGCTGCGGGGAGGTGGGGAGAGCTGCTTCCGATCCCCACCTGAGTACTGTAGCAGGAGCAGCTCCTGGGAGTGGTGGGTGCCCAGGAGCACCGTGTGGCTGTGCTGCAGAGCCCCGGCAGGCGTGAGGTGGGCATAGATGGGCGGCCACTGCATCATGTGCTCCCAGCGCAGGACGGGCACCAGGGGGAAGCGTTCGTCCAGCACAAAGGCCGAAAACTGAGGAGGAAGAGCACTGAGGGAGTGAAAGGGTGCCCAGGCACAGGGACCATCTGCCTCTGCCAAGCCACATGCCAACTGGGATACCGGAAGGGGGCATCGGGGAAGGCAAGCTCCTCCCTAAAGCCTACCCCCCCTCCCGTGCAGGAGGGGGGAGGGGGGAAGGCCTCAGACTGGGGCCCAAGTCAAGACAAAGGACTCTGTACAACAGAAGCTGCCAACGCCTACAATTGGCCCCGAGCCCTGAAGTTCCCCCGGTTACCTGCGTAGCCACTAAGTGGTGGTAGGGCTCTGAATGGCCCAGGTACTTGGACAGGAGCAGGCGCTCCCCACGCTGGCAATCTGCTTCACCCCCGACCTTGAAGAGCTCAAAGTGGCCCCCAGAGGGCACCTAGGGACAGTGTGTGAAGGTCAGTGGCCAGGCAGGCCCGCCGCCGAGGATGCAATGGAGAAGGGCCAGGCAGCCAGCAGCACTGCCCACACACCCACACCCACGGGCCACCCTGCCCAAAGCCTCACCCTCTGGTCAAGACCCTTCAGGCCCGTGCGGTCAGCAAAAGTGAGCACACGCGGGTGGGCAGAAAACTCGCTCCAGCGCCAAGGGGAAGGGTCACGGAAAAACATGCCGTCGCCGTCCTGGTGCAGCCGCCGAAGCCTGATCAGAAAGGCAGTCAGTCCCTCCCCTTCGCAGCCGAATCTGCCAGCCCGGCCATCCCCTCCCTGCCCCGCTGCAAGAGCGTCAGATCCTGCAGAGGCCAGAAGAGAGGGAAGCCTCAGAGACTCCCAAGCCACTTAGCCAGAGAGCCCTTGCTGACAGCCGGCAAATAACATTTCTGAGCCCTGGCTTCCTTTATCTGGCCAGTGAAAGAACAGCACACACGCGTGTGCACACCACACACCACTTTCAGACCACAAGGTTGGGCCTACTTCCGCTAAATGGTTACCAAAGCACATTCTCCCCCCACCCTCCAAAAGCGTTCAAGGGAGCCTCTTTGATCCTGTCTTCTCTCTGCCCACCCCTGCCACCACATTTTGGCTACAGCTAAGCAGAAAATTTCCCCTAAGGTGCAGGACTCATCCCAAAGCCATCCAGATTTGGGTCCCAGCGGGGTTTGACTCCTAGAGAAAGGTGACCAGCCCCCACATTGCTCACCCCATCTCAACATGCCACAGGTAAACCGCTCCTTCCAGGGTGCAAATGGACAGCTCGCCGGGCAGGTGGGGGCTGCAAGGAGAAAGCGGAGCTGGGGAACCCCTCCGCCCGTCCCCAGAGGGCAGAGAGGCCAGAAGCCCCTCGCCCCTGTCCCCCAAGCAGCAGGGGCAGCCATGGGGCGTCCCCTTGTCCCACCGGCAGACCTCAGCCCCTCGCAGCAAGGGCTGAGGAGCAGCCATGGGAGCCCCCATCCCAGCCTGCAGGGGCTCAGAGCTGGAGGATCCTGCCTGACCCTCCCTTGCAATGTATGTACCTGACTGCGATGGAAGAACAGGGGGCATCTGTGCGAACCACCTGCAGAGGAACAGGGGCCCTTCCACGCTGCCGCCTCCATGCTGCACAAAAGTGGCCTGAGCGAACCCCCAGGAAGTCTGGGACAGAGGAGAGAGGCCGCGCTTGGTACCAGAACAGTAGGGGCCGGCCGCAGTTCCCGGTGACTGTGACCGTCATACTCACCGCTGCCCTCCAGGCGCACGGCTGCCACTTGCCGGACTGCCCCGTTCAGCTCAAACTGCGCGGGGCAGCCCCGGATTCGAGGTTTGAGGGACCCGTTGCCCGCCGGCCTCAAGGCCACGTCTTGGAAGCCTGCAGCAGCAGCAGCAG